ACCGGTTCTTACCAGTTGCCGGTTCATACCAGTTACCGGTTCATACCGGTTACCGGTTCATATCAGTTACCGGTTCACCGGTTACCGATAAACCAGTTACCGATTAGGCCGGTTATCGTCACCGTTGCACCCCTAGTCATGACTGGGTATCCGGTCGGACTGGTGCATCCCTACCTATATCGAATCTGTTTTTCAGAAAAATTTAATGAATATCGCGCAAATTAGTTTATAATACCATATGAGACCATAGTTGACATATAGTAACACAAGAATAACCAATTAATGTTATGATATAGCTCGTTTTAGGTCTTTAATAGGTTCATATCAATTTATTATGAGACAAAAAAGACGGAAGTATTATTCATTTAATAAACTAAAGATCAAATGATTGATGACCCAGTCATGACTGGATACCCAGTCATGACTGGGTACCAGTCAGACTGGGTACCAGTCATGACTGGGTACCAGTCGGACTGGGCACCAGTCATGACTGGGTACCCAGTCCGACTGGTACCCAGTCCGACTGTACTGGTGCATATCTATTGTAGATTGAAGGGTGTGGGTGTGGGTGTAGGTGGGGGTGAGTGTGGGTATGCGTGTGGGTGTGGGTGGGAGTGAGTATGGATGTGGATGTGGATGTGGATGTGGATTTTCCATTGTTCATCAACGTCCACACCCACGCCAACGCCAACACCTACATCCACACATCCACACTCACCTCCACATCCAAACCTACACCCACATCCACACCTACACCCACACTCACCACACCCACACCCACACACGCATACTCACATCCACACACCCATACTCACATCCACACACCCACAAACACACGCACACTTACACCAACCACACCCACACCCATACATCCACACCCATACATCCACACCCATACCCACAAACACACCCACATCCATGTAATGATCGAATTAGGACGAAAAAATACGTGGAGTGCTAGAATTCAACCAGTAAGAGAACGAGAAAAAGGGTCAACTTCATGTTTTTATATTCACGATTACTTATAAAAAAAATAACTAATTTCAAAAAAAAATTGACAGGTATGCAGAGTGTCGATGGAACTATCCCGGAAACAAAGAATGAATTCAACCGGACGTTATGGAGCAAAGATATCGTTGTTTTTCTGAAAAACACTAAGTCGTGATCGAATTAGAAGAAGGCACTCTACATTCGTAGTCACACCCCCCTTGCTTATTAATTTTCACTTAGATATCAAGAACATAAAGGAAGTGTTCAGGTAAATAATTTAGTGGACCAATTGGTTATTCTATTGATCGATAATCTAGTCTTTCGATGGCGATTCCATTGAATTCATCATTGCACTTGTATTTTTCATCCTACTAGAATCTGTCTTGGAAGAATGTTAAGAATTAAGAAACATACTGATATACTCCTTATAGCGTAGTTCAATGTCGTCGAGAGTCATTTCATAATCGTTGAGCGTGTAAGAATTGCGACCTTGCTTTCCCTGAGGATTATCGCGTAGCCATGCAAGCATAGCCAATTCAAACTCTTCTGACCAGGTAAGACCAAAGTGATTGTAAATGCGACGAACTGTATTGATTGGTTGTGCAAGTAGGTCATCATATAATACGTCAAAACAAGAAATATCTTGATGACTACGTCGAAACTTGACAAGACGATGAATTAAAGTATTCATTAAATGTAGCGTTCGCTTCACAACTGCCTAGATGTTGAGTGCTGTATTGGTCTTGTTAGAATCGAAATAGGGACAAGTGAACACAGTCGTTAGACGACAGTACGATGGTAGCACTTCGTCAAGTCGGCGATGAGTCATGATAAGTGAAGCTGAAGGATAGTGGTGCATGAGTTCATCGAGGTACAAGCCATGAAATGGTGTTTTAAGGAGCCAGTGAGAGCGAGGTGCATCGATACTGTTTAACATTTGTATAAAAGTCTTGTGATATTTGTAGAGAAAGTTCTTGTTCATATCATCTTCTAACCATAACAAGAGTTCGTCATTGTCGTGAGGTGCGACCAAACTGTGAAGTATATTACATCCTGCTTGAAAAAAAATAATAAGATCTTCTTCATATGCAAAATGAGGATGAGAAGCACGCGTATCTTGTTGATAATCGGTCAAGCCAAAAGCGTTCAACATCTCACGGTATTCCTGTGCAACAATATTGCGTTGCACTAGTCCAGTAGTGTCAGAGCGTGCAAGTGGTGGCACGGGATGGACCATTTCTACATAGAGCGGTGCTCGACATGCTGGATCGCAAGCCAACAAGTTGTAGAGGAGTGTTGTGCCGGTACGAGGCAGACCGCACAGAACGAGCGGATGTGGCATCAAAGTTGCTGTTGTTTTCAGTTTAGAATGAGATGCCATGTAGTTGAGTACAAGCTTCGAACTCATGTAATCTTGTTCGAGTGATGTGCATACAAGATGGCGCCCGATTGGTGATAGCTGGTCGTTGGTAAGTACCTGATTTGCATTCAATTGAAATGCATGCAAAATCTCATCGTGAAATTCGAACTGTGTCTTGGCTTCATCACTAAGATCATCTTCAGAGAGAGTAACAGTCGTGCGAAGAGCCACAGTGTTCTTATTATTTCTCACATCTTCACGTGATATTTCTTTATCCAATGGTTGTTCCATGTCCAGCGATTGTGAGTAACACCTTTCAACTATACGACAATCTATGTACAGAGCTATCGTTTGATATTATTAAGGAGGAGAAAGAGGAGGAAGTAAACATCCACGAACCAAAGAACGTTTTCTCTTTTGGAGAAAGTGGCTAATTCTTTTTTAAAACTGCAGTGAAAGCAATCTGTGTATTAAAAGCAGCTGATTTTCCACGCAATCTTCAAATAAAGCTTTCTCTTTCTGTGAAAATGGATGTTTGTCTATGAAAAACTAGACAGAAAACTGTCTATTTTTCATATTTTTCTTAAAATTATGCTAACAAAAATCAAGAAACCCTGTAAGAAGGAGTTGACGAAAATGTTCTGGTACCTGGGCTGAGTGCTAGTGAAAACTAAAGGATGAAGAGGTAGTTCAACCCTCCCCTCCACCTCTTCCAAATCCTAGGTCGGACTATTGTATTACTGACACTTGACTGCAAAGGCTTTTTACACATGAAAGCAGATTTTTTTCGAAAATCCCGAACATGGAAGCAATAACGGGTGTCCCATAATGAATGAGCAGTTTTTGCATTTCTTGTTTTTATCATCTAGTACGTTTATTGTAAAAACAAAATACACCACAAGATGCAGCGTGAAAAGCGCTACAATTTACATCAGACCGCTTATTTTATAGCTGCATTTTTTGTTTTCAAAATGGACAAAACTTTGAGGGGCCAAATTTCGACCGTGCGCAAATTAGTCGCACAGAATTTTGCTTTTTTTGAAAATAATTACAATAAGCTTTACTGTGTAAATTGTAGAGCTTTTCACGCTGCGTCTTGTGGTATATTTTGTTTTTTTTATTAAAAAGATATCAGGTGATAAAAAGATGAAATAAGAAAAAACGAAGTCATCTTGTGTCAAAAAAATATCGTTTTCGCACGGTCAAAATTTGATCGCTCGAAGTTTTGTCCATTTTGAAAACCAAAAGTGCAGCTATAAAATAAGCGGTCTTTTGTAAATCGTAGAGGTTTTCACGCTGCATCTTGTGGTATATTTTGTTTTTAAAATAAACATACTAGATGATAAAAACAAGAAATACAAAAACTGCTCATTTATTATGGGACACCCGTTAGTTAACTTTTATCACACATCACGATCAGAAGTCGTCTTTAATAATATCACAAAATGCAGGCAAATTTCTTTTCTGACGTGTCATGCATCTTCCAATAGAAGCGAACTACGTAAATAGGCTCTTATTAACGATCTTATCGTTGACTATTTTCTTACCTCTAGGTTGATATAACGAAAAATGATCCGCAGTAGTGAAGTGTGCTACGATGCAAAATAAAGAACAACTGACTCGAAAAAAACGAAACAAACAGGCAAAAACTCTGATAAAAACATGGGCTACTGAAGAGAATAATGTCAAAATCTGTTTGCCGGCAAAGTAAGATTCGAATGCACGTTAACATTACAACCTCTGATAACTACTCAAAGAATGCAAATGGAGAGAAATAAAAGGATTCAGAAAAATAACTGATAAGCGATGATGATTAAGTAGATTTTTTTCATTATTGCTATGCCAATCGAGGGTGTACGTGGGTGTGGGTGTGGGGTGTGGATGTGGGTGATAAAGCTACCACGATAACCTTAGATTATTTCGATATTGATTGATTGTGATTTAATATTGTTGGAGTGCATGTATTGGATGGGCTATTGTTTTGTGTTTGATACGTTGATTGTGTTTTTGCCTTAAGCATAGTTAATAGTAGTCTGAAATGAAACGAGATTGTTTTTATATGTATGGAAAAGGTATTAACGGTTATTTTTTTTTCATTTTTTTGGTTGGTTTCATTTGAAACAGTTTATGATATATTTTGATGTGAGTTTATGCAAATGAGGTTTTTATATAGTTTTAGTTTATATATGGTCTAAGGTGGCTGCTGTTGGTTGAAGTGGAGTTTCATTGAATATGATTTCAAGTTTTCGTTGTAATTCACTTTGACCACGTTGTTGCATGTTGTTTTCACGTCTAAGGATAGTCGTGATGATTTGATCAGGTAGTTGAACATTTTTATGATTGGTTCTTGTGATTGCAATTTTGTTTTCTTTGCTGCTCCTACGTTTTCATAGTGCTTTGTGATTTCTTCGGCTCTGGCTATTGTTTATTTAGCCATATGTTCGGTGGATGATGTTTTTTCATGAAAAACTAATGAGGTGAATATTCAGTTTATATTTGGTAATTGTATGTCTTGGAGTGTACATGATGATGCTGACATGTGAAGTGGAAGCGATTTTTAAAATATAGCAATTTCATGTAGGATTGCTTGTTTCTCATGTATAGCTTTCCATATAACTTTTGCTGAATTTACCTAAAGTTTCACCTATATTGCATGTATGTGTGAACATTTTGAATCGTTACCTCTGTTTGCCTTGGTTTTAATTTGTAAAAATCGTCAACCAGTTTATGTTCTTCAAAACCTAGTCGGAGCATTGTTCTTCGTCTGTCAAGTTCAACACGTAATTGATATTGATGTTTATGAATTGAATTGTTTATCATATTTGTAACAATTGTCGTATCAATATTGGGAGGTATTTGTTTCATGTGTTCATGAATACCATGTTGAACATGTTCACATTATGGTTTGTGTTTCTCAAGTCGCTGTTTGATTAAGATTTTGGATCGACCATATGTATAACACATTGAATTAGCATCAGCCATTTTTTTTGAAACTCCTCCGTTCCATATACCTTCGATCTTCCCAAGATTATAATAGTAGGATCACTGTTCATGTTGTAATTGAGAATAGTTTAATTTATTGACGAGTTGTGTAAGTTGACGAATAAATAAGAATATTTCTTCCTGATTCAATAATTCTATAAGTGTATCGGTATGAGTACGATCTGACGTTGATGTTAATAACATTTCTTTAAATTTGCTGTCCGATATTGTTAAATAATCTTGTAATAATAATGTTGGATCAGAACTTGTTGCTAGATTCACAGCATTATAGATTTTTTTCATTAACAAATCTGGTATTATAGATAAATTATGAAGATGTGCACTTGGTTCGATAATTGCTAATTGAAATTGGTTATTGACAGAGACTTTCTTATTTTTCATGTGTAATCGGCGATTTTTCTTTTTGTGATGTTGAACTTTGGAATTTTGTTTACTTTGATTAAATTTGTTTTTCAGTTTTGGTTTGTTGATAGTGTTTTTGAGCTTTGATAATAGTTTAGGCTAGATATCTGAAATGAAAAAAAAAGATCAACAAGTATAGATTTTTCCACAAAGAGAGAAAAACGACGAAATGAAAATAAAAAAACGAATATAGAATATAGTTTATTTTGAAAAGAAAAAATGAAACGTTTTTTAATGTCTAGATCATGTTTACTAGATATTCACACCGTTGTCATTGATTCCATTTAGTTTTCGTTCTAAGAAAAAAATAATTATTTAGAATTGAAAAAATAAGTTGGTTGTATATCTTTTCCTTTTTAATAGATCTTTGAGTAATGCTGAAAATGGTCGTTTACGTGAAAGTTCGAATTTTAGATTTGGATTATTTCGATTACCAACAACTAATCTAATATCTCCATGAATTGTATTCTTGAAGAAACTGTCGTGATGGTATGTATTTCTCGTGCTAAACCTTTGAGTCGTGCTTCATGTGTAAAGTGAACAAACAGATTTTCTTTGAATTTGTTGTCTTTCCGTTTCACTGATGCCTCCATTATTTGAATATTTCTTTGTGTAACATTTTGAGTGTTCTCGATAAGATCGACTGTAGCTGCACTCGTAGCCGCTTGTGTTTATTTAGCTGTTGGTTGATGTGATAATTTTTGACGTAGGGCAACAAACTGACTTTCATCAGTGAGCATTGGTAAGAGTGACGAAGTAGATGACGACATATAATCGGCAAAGAATAGTCGGAATTGTTCATTTATATACCTTGATGGACAGCTAAAACAATGAATAATAATGCAATTATATCATAATTCAATAAAACAAAAGATTTACCGATTATATAAGAACATTAAACGAATAGCACGTCTTTCATTATTAAATATGTCAAATGTTGATGAACATCGTACAGCTCTAGTTAGACCACTTTGGATAACATTTCGAAATACATGTCGAGGATGATCCGATAGAAATGATACAACGGTTGGTTCAGCTGAGGATTTATGATAGACCGGTGTCGTAAGTATTCCATTGTCATGATGAAGTAGAACATCGAGGAATGGAAGACTTTTACCTATATGATATTCTAATTTAATATTTGGATGAAAATTATTCGCTGCTTCTAATAACTGTTTCAATTTGTCTTCAGATGCGTTCCAGGTAAAGAAAACATCATCAATATATCTATAATACAAAAAAAAATATATATCGATAATTAAGTTCCGATTTACATGATTAAAATTAAACACTAACCGGCCATATAACTCATGAAAAGCTAATTTTGGAAGAATAGTTTGTCTTTCCCATTTCCCCATGAAGATATTTGCTAATGTTAAAATAAATGCTGATCCCATAGCACCACCAATAATTTGTCGATAAAATTTGTTACTATAGACAAAAGCATTAGCTTGGAGTACCACACGACCAAATTCGACAATGGTATCAATGGAAATTCCATTGACTCTTTCACAATTATGTGCATGAAGAAATTCAGCAAGAATAGCAAGTGATTCTTCTTGTGGTAGCATAGTATACAGATTCGAAATATCGAAGGTAATGAAGAGAGTCGATGAATTAAAATAACCTTTCTGAATATATTTTTGAAGTTGATCAAGAAGGTTAGCACCATCCACAATCGTCGTTTGACGTACAAATCGATCGAATAAGGGTCGAATTAATTTATCTAAAAATTGAGAAATCTGTTTGGTTGCAGCATGAATTGTATTTAAAATGGGTCGAAGTGGTGTAGCTTTCTAATAAAAAAAAATGAATTATTATTTATCTATTGCATAAGAAACAGATGTATAATAGGCGGTCACCTTATGTGGTTTGGGAATAAAATACATATAAGCTAATTCGATCTTTTGCCGATTAGGCGTCATTTTTAATCTTTGTCATTCACTTATTCGTTTCACTGATTGTAATTGATTAAGTAATCGAGTGGCAGCACAGATGATATCATTGAATGGATTACATGTTAATTCTTGGTAAGCACCTGTTGTTTGTCGATATTCAGCTGCTTTTCGTTCATAATCAATGGTACGACCAATATGTAGTACACCACTTTTGTCTGTTTCACGTAGGATGTTTTTATTTTTTTCGAATGGATTGAACCATTTTTAATTCCCGTAGAGCACGTATTTGATCGATGAATGGTATGAGAGTCATATAACTTTGAGTCAGACAGGATCGAAGCCGATCAGAATATGATTTATATAAGGATGATATGAGTGGTATTTTTGGGTGTGGGTGGGTGTGAGTGTGAGTGTGCGGCTGTGAATCGTCTGATCGTTAAGTAATATCAACCCCGTATGCACATCCACCCACCCACACACACGATGTTACATATGATCATGACAGTGATGAAGAAATAAATTTAGATGATAGCTATAATACTACACATAATTTTAACATATCTGCACATCGTGAAATAAGATTAGTCGATAATGTAACAGAAGAATTTGCTCACACTTACTTTCAAGTTATCATTAATGATGATAAAAAATATCTTCATAAACAAGCTGCTTGCTGATTTTTGCAAAAAGATAGAAGTTCTTTATCCTCCGGTCGAACATTACGGGTTAGAAGTGAATAACAGATTGTCTTTTCAACTGATTTTGTTGAAGTAAAAATGTTGTTGTTATATGTCATATTTATACTAGATGGACCACAAGAACCAGAACATATAATTTTTCGAATTTTTCTCTCTATATATTGACATTTACATCTCATATTTATACCACATGTCGTAGGTAAGACCAGTCAGAGATGTAAAATACGATGAGCCTCTGAACGTAGAAATTTGTTTCAAAACATGTAGTTATGTTTTAGTTACTGTTATGTGACTGCATGAAAAATTCGATGTTCTTTGTGTTGCCTTTGATTTTCATATTCTTGTCTGCTTATTTTAATCTGAAAAAAAATTGGATTTCGTTAAGCTTTGTATTCTTTTAGTTCACAGAAGTTGGAATTCTGGTGAAATCTAGTTTGTTTCTCAGATTGAAATAAGCAGACAAGAATGTGGAAACCAAAGGCAACACAAAGAACATCGAATTTTTCATGCAGTCACATAACAGTAACTAAAACATAACTACATGTTTTGAAACAAATTTCTACGTTCAGAGGCTCATCATATTTTACATCTCTGACTAGTCTTACCTACGACATGTGGTATAAATATGATTTGTAACTGTCGATATATAGAGAGGAAAATTTGAAATATTATATATTCTTACTTTCAACCCACCTAGTGATTTCACTGTTGTGAATTATCGTTTTTTTCAATAAAATTTTCCTCTTCATAAGATGTGTCTAATTATGATAACATCAATGAATATAAAAGGCATTTTTCAAATGATGTAAAGAAAACTAAAGTTTTAATTGATGCTAGAAATAATTTTGAAATCAAGAGAAATCAATGAAATCAAGAGAAATCAATGAAATCAAGAGAAATCAATAAAATCAACAGAAATCAAGGAAATCAAAAAATCAGTTTGTTCCCCCTTGGTTTTTTCACAAAGAAAATCTGCTAAATGGATTACAATCTTGATTTTGTTTCACAATAATCCGATTTTTAATTGGAAGTTTTCCACTGAGGATTACCGATTCTTTGTTCGGCTACCTTTATTGTTCTCTTCCTTTTTTATAATTATGTGTCATATGCTGCGCTTGTACATTGGATTATCTCTTTCGTTGTCTCCGTTGCACTTTTTCTTTTTCGTGATTTATCGTTTATGAGATTTTCCAATTCATGGAAGTTTTCTTTCGTTGTTCCTATATACGTAGTCAGATGGTAATCGATTTAATAATATGTTTTGAAGTATGATAATAGTCGTCCCTCCATAGACACGTTTGAAATGCTTGTACTTTCGATTTTTATATTGAAGTTATAGGTGACTAACATTAAATGAGTCATGCTAGTTTATGACATGCGCAGCCTTGCATTGCTTTCAATCTTTAACGAATATTTGGAGTCAATAGAAAAAAAACAAAAATCTTCTACTCCAACATACTACACATGTAACTACAGTACACATCTTGCTAATATTTTCACAGGCACACAAACTACTTTTCTTCCTCTCTTAATAGTTTATTGTATAAACTATGATAAAAAACAGTTTATTATAATTCGATTGAACTTTACGAGTATTGATCAATTATATGAAGAAAAACCAAAAGGAAATTTTAATAACAAGTAGAATAGAATAAATGTCGCAAGAAAACCATGGATTGAAACAGATATATATATAAATATTGGAAGTAAGATTACAATTTGGTTATATTCAGATTGTTCCTTAGCAAAACTGGAAATCTCAATCTGCTCAGAAAAAATCATAATTGAATGAGAGATAAACTTATACAATCGAAATAAATTAAATTTGAATCGAAAACTATTTTAATTCTACACAACCATTAATATTTTGTTCATATTTTGCAAGTCAATATATTTGCATCTATTTATTCATATATGCACAACCACCATTTGAAATGGACTTTTTGTCGAATAAGAGGCTCCTACTGTTTAATATCAATGTTGTTTTCTAACTAAGTTGCTTTTACAATCGCGTATTTCATCAATTGTTGAACGAAATTTAGATATCTTATTTCTTATTAATTTGTGACATATAATGCCTATACATATGCTGCCCATTGATTCGACTACAATGATTAAAATTTTGTCTTTTTCATTTTATTCTTCGTTTATTAAGATATATGACTTTATGTATTTCTATTTTGATTTCGGGTTCGTCCGTTTGAAACTAGCATGTGCACGTGGATTTGTTTTGCATCAGTCTCTCATTACTAGTTATCTGCGTCATTGCATACCTTTATGATGCATAACTTTGTTGCTCATAAACCCTCACGCAATTAGTAATAAAATTGCTTCTTTTTGTAATCAAACATAGACTCATTTCCTCGAAAATGTCATGAAATATATTCTTTCATACATATATAAATCATCGTCTCGATCTATTTTGTCATTCTCCAAACCTTATACACACTACCGAATATAAGATTAGTAGGATTACGACTATATATTTTAATTTTCTTAATCCGAAGAAATGCATACTTCATTTGCAACTTTAGCTATACTTTTCATACTTACTATTTCTTGTTGGTCAATTATTGAAGGCACTGTCTGTGGAACTTACAATCCATCATTTTACACCTGCTGCAACGGTGTACTTACTTTTGG